TTATATTATCTAGCAGAACAAGATGATCTGCAAAAGCTAAAAACATTTGGAGATGTTTGTGCTTAAGGCAATTTAATACAATAACACCTGAAGTCCTAAGTGACTGAGAAAAAAAACCCTATATTAAAGAAGTGTAACTAACTGTCCACTACCCCGTAAAGTTTTAATAGTTTACATTACTTTCCCATGGGATTTTTTCAGTCATTTATAGTTCATTGCTTCGTATGGCTATAGAATCCCTGCTGTGTTAAAAAATGCCAAATAAAATTATATCTCATTCACTGCTTTATGCTATACCTTCTTTTGTTCAGATCCAATTAGTGAAAGCTTGTTCTTCATTTATCATACTTTTAGCTGATTACATTAGGCATTACAATAGTTCTCTAGCTTTCCTTGACAATGTTTGCACCATCAGTGTTACATTTATGGTTGAGGAGGCTCTTTCATCTTAACCCTCTATTCCAATCAGTTCAGGGGGAAAAAGTACATATGATTACTACTCTTGTTCAGCCGGAACTCCTTTGCTTGTTTTCTCATCCCAAAAATAATTTCACCAGATGTTTTAATTAAAAAAGTTTCCAAATTCGATTGGCCCTTCCCCACTTTACGTATCCAAGTGTAAAGAATTACTGTTTGATAAGCTGAACTCCAAAGTTAAAAAAAAAAAAAAATCAGCGTTTTGAACAGAATACAATTTCTTTCCTCTGCTTTCCCCAAAATAACAGATGTACTAAAAAGTATTAGCCAGTATTTTTAAGACCCTAAAAGCATCCATTATGACCTACTTTTCTGAACATACTCAGCACCACATGAGCAACTGTATGTTCTATGGGGGTCTCAAGTAGCCATTTTGTCAGGCTGTTTTCCCCAGTCACCACAGTGACTTTATTTCAGGACAGTTGTTAAAGCAGCAACTTCTCTTCCACAGCACACAACTCTGGACAGTCCTTTTTCTCAGTTCACACTCCCTTCCACCTCCACAAAAGTAAATGTAAATATCCTGGTTTCATCTCAGATAGAGGTAATTTCTTCCTAGTAGCTGATCCAGTTCTGTGTTTTGGATTCAGTGGGAGAATAATGTTGATAAAACACTGATGTTTTAGTTGTTGCTAAGTAGCACTTACCCTACATTAAGGATTTTTCTGTTTCCCATGCCCTGACAGCAAGCAGGTGCACAAGGAGATAGAAGGGAGCACGGCCAGGACAGCTGACCTGAGCTAGCCAAAGGGATATTCCACACCATAGAATGTCATGCTCAGTATATAAACTGGGGGGAGTCAGCTGGGGGGGTGAATTGGTGGTCAGGCATCAGCCAGCGGGTGATGAGCAACTGCACCGTGCATCACTTGTCTTTCCCTGGGTTTTATTTCTCTTTGTTACATTCCTTTTCATTATTATTATGTTTTTGTTACTATTATATTTTTAGTTATTAGACCATTCTTATCTCAACCCACAAGTTTTCCTTTTTTTTTTTTTTTTTTTTTTCCCCAATTCTCCTCCTCATCCCACTGGGAGGAATGAGCAAGTGGCTGCATTATGCTTAGTTGCTGCTGAGGTTAAACCAAAACAATAATCCAATCCCATTTAATACCATTTCCAGCCAGCTGTAATTTTGCATTAATACACAAGCATCAAGAAGTCTCTGAAGTCACCCATCTCCTTTTAAGTTCTGCTAATGTTCCCTTCCTTATCACCTTAACAATTTTAACACAGTGATCCTTCAGATCTTTGGTAATTTTTTAAATTAGGAGCACAACACAATATTTTGTTATTTGTATTTTCCTTCTTCAAGTAAGTTGTATTTGGCTCTCCGCAGGTTGTTCAATTTTTGCCACATTCCCAATTTCTAACAGCCCTTTCTGCTGCTTCCTGCTCATAAGCAAAGTTTTAATATATTGAATTGTAAATTCCTTTGTACTGTTATAGTCTAGTTACTAGTTTGATATAATAATGAAAGATACGTCAAAACTAATACTGCTCTAACAGCACACTCAAAGCACTTGCCATGGTGCTCCACAGAAATAAGGTCTGAAGAATAAGTAGTAGTAAGGAGTTTCAATGAAAGTCTGTATGTTCTGTAAACAGAAAATTTATCTACTCCAATTTCTAAACACTAATAAGAATATTTTGTAAACCATCCCTAACCTACTCTAGTCACTTAAAACCAGGTCCCACTATTTTTAGTGAAGACAAACAGTTCGGGGATGATCAACTAGTTCAGCTGCCTACCTTTACATTTATTTCTGCCTTTGGTACAACCACCATCATCATCAGGGTAACTGCCTATCATATTAATTTCCTTTGCTATACAAGTCTTGAAGGAGTGAGGGATGTCTCACTTAATCCTGTCAAGAACAGAATCAAGATGATATTCACAACTCTTCTGCAGCATCCCACCACTAAGCAAACAGGTTTTTCCTAGCTACATGAGGACAGAGGTTCCTTTGGCAGGTTGCATCAGCTCCAAAGTTTGATTTCAGAGTGTTTGAGATTTTGCTACCACTGGTATAACCAAGAAGGTAGCTGTTGATGGAACCTGAACACAAATGAACAACATAGGGCAAATATGGTTTGTTACTGTATGGTAACACAGTCAAATACTTTGGCCTCCGGACTCATCTACCAAGATCATCCAAACTGGCAGTCACAACACATCACTGCAATGGCCAAGTCATTCCCACAAACACTGAATAACTGGAGGTATCCAAGTCATTAAGACAGATGATGACATTAGTTAAACTATTTCCCAGTGCAAGCACTCAAGGTAGTGAATAAAGGATGTATGGTAGACATAAAACATGTATAATTAGACAAAAAAAAGTCTTAGACTTAGTACCACTACCTTATTTCAAGCACACAGAACAGCATTTCAAGTAGCCTTTCTCTCATTTTCCTTTAATAACTTGGAGCTTCTTCAACACACAGAGCTAATGCCTAACCTTGTACAGATAGGTTTGGTCTTTAACTAAGAATCCAAATTGCTAAGTAGACACTTTCACCCTTACAGCATTTTTAGAGCCTCATATCTAGTCCATGAACTCAAGATGCCAGCGTCTCATTTAACATACTTAATGTTATCTTTATGAACTGCTATGAGTATATTAATGCATTTCTGAGATACCATCTTGGATTTCCTTTCTTATGAACTATTACAAATTAAAAACCCTATCCATATTTTAAAGCTGACAGCACTGTAGATTGAAGCAGAGTAGACATTTTCAATTTCCTCTTTGTAATGCACTATTTGTACTCCCTCCCCACTAAGGTCAGGAGTTGTACTGTTTCCTGTAATTCTTATTCCCTTATATTCTTCAGTCTTGGTTTTTACTTACTACTTTTTTCATAGTCTCCAGCTCAGAGTCCACACAAACAAAGCCATCCAGACACACTGGAGAAGAGACCAATTTATTTTCTCAAGTCTATTATGAAAGAACTTTTTTTTTAAAAAAACAGCTTTTTTTAGTTTACTTTCAGAATTAATTTATGCCAGTGAACAAGGTTGTGCAGTACTGCTAAACTGCAAATGCATTTATCCTAACAGCAGATACCATATACATAAGATGGAATACAAATACCCATCAGCATGCTTCAATTTTATTAGAGGGATCATAGATCATAAAGGGTAGTTTGTATTCATATCCACATAACTCTTGGCTTCCAAAAGAATTAGAATTTATCATGATGTCTGACACCCATCCATTAAGAATTCATTTCACAGACCACTGAGCACCCACAAGCTACTATACCCTCCCAGTTACAGCTACCAGTTAAAACCCAGACCAAACATACTCTTCATTCACCTCAAAGAAAGAATTACTTGGCATAGAAATCCAGTAGTAGGGCATTTGTCCCATCTCAGAAAATCCAGCTTCAGTCCCTTGCTCTACCTACAGCCGATTTACATGAAACGAGCTGGTCATGTCAGACTAGAACCACAAAAGGACTTAGACAAAAGTGCTGTCAAAGTCCAAAACTCCCAACAGTTCTCATCTTTCACTTAACTCTGAAAACACCTAGGTTCTTCTTTCATAAATTCCAACCATGCTTCAGTTTTTCAGTATTGAACAACTCACCACCTATACTCACAAGTCCTGTCCTGCATAAAACACACTTTTTTTTTTCCTGATAGCTTGTCTGAGGGATCTCTATTAAATCATAACACAGGATTTTTAACTCTTCCAGATTTCAACAAACTATCCTGGGATATGGGGGCACCTGCAGTCCTTTCTGCTGTAGTATTATTTGTTGCCTGCAAGAACTGCTATGTTCTCTCTAGTCAACAAGGATATGCAAGTATGGTTTCACTTGCTGTTGTATCACAAAGGAAATTATCTTCCTATTCTTGCTATAAGCAACCTAAAGTATTTCTAAAATAGAGAAGAGACTACAAGACCTAAAAATGGGTGAGTAGCTAGACAAGTTCCTTACTTGTCTAGATAGCTATTTTATCACCTTGCTGCCATGCTGCTGAATATTCAAGGCACCTCAATATCCTCAAATGCAACAGCTTCAGTAGGCCTGTTCAGCACACCTGGTAGGAGAGTGCATTCCTCTGGGAGGGGGGGAAAGCAATGAGTTGGATTTACCAAGCACAACAACAATTTATACCAAGTTCTATACCATCTCCTAAGATCCACTCTTCGTGGCCTTTTTTGTGTAGATTAGCAAAACAAAATTTAGGTTTTGCTGCCACTCTCACAGTTGGTACACTTAACTACAAGATGTCACTGTCTAGCTTTATCCAGGGAAAGAGCGAGGTAACATTTACACAAGCAAAATGCAGAACAGTTCACACAAACATGGTAAATACTTGAATTCTCCCCCTCCCCACCCCCAGTATCTCCCCTCTTTTCAAGCACATGGAGGAAAAGGACATACACAAAGATATTTCAGAATTGCCAACATGCACACCACAGTAATCAACAAGCCTGCATAACAGTTGCAAGCCTTTTTGAATTAGTAGGAAGCCCATCCACCATTTGAATTCAAGTAGTACTTACAGCATTGGCATCGACATCACTGTGTATGGCAACCGTTTTAATCCCCATCTTCTTACATGTTTTGATGACCTACCATGCAAGAAGTGACAGTTATCAATATTAAAAATGCCAATGGCTTAAGAATTAACTACAAAAAGAAGCAGCTTAAAAGACTACATACTTACTCGGCATGCAATCTCTCCTCTGTTGGCAATAAGGAGTTTTTCAAAAGTCTGAAGGGAAAAGAACAATAAGAATCTTGAGATGAACACCACACAAGTCTTACTCCCTCTAAAAACATGCATTTTCTCCTCCACTCCCACTAAAACCCTGGTTTACCCATGAGCTCATAACTCTAAGATCACCTTCTTTAAAAAGGGTTCTGCTGATTTACCAGTGATGATAAACAGTATGCTATACTAGATCTACCTAGCACAAACAGATTCAGAAGAAAAAAGGTGTTGACTGTTCACACCAGCATTCCCTGGATCTCCTTACCACACACCACACAGAAACTATAACTCTACAGAGGCTCTGGGAGCCAGACAAGTCCAGAGAAGGGACATGCTGGCAGCTACAGAGGTCAGTGCCTCTAACCAGCACAGATGATCTGGAATACAATACTCATCTTTTAAAGATTTTCCATAACAGACATTTCAATCATAAGGAGGAGAGGTTCCTCTCTGCCTAGGGCATGGAGGGTAAAAGACTAATACTTCCACCCTGTACAGACATGCCTGCTGAGTTGTACCAGCTTTGCCCCTCCTTGTAGCTGAGCCTCAGGCAAGGAACCTGACAAAATCCTGCATTGACATCACGACACTGCTACACACTCAATACTACATAGCAACCAAAGCACAACAGAGGAGCAAATCAAATTTACTAGACCCCTGAAATTCACCATCACCTTTTACAACTGGAGTGCACTTAATGCTGTAAATATACCTTCAATACCACTATCATGCCTGTAAGAAGGGGATAACAACCTGTCAGAAGTCAGTAAGCCTTATACCCTGGACAAAAGCTTCATTAACAAAGAGTGGTGGAGGAACAGAGATGCTTACCATAAAAATCTCATTGCCAAAAGTAAGGGTTATTGCTGTCACTGGCCTTGCTACTAAATACACAGGTGCACTCTGATACTTCACTTGCTTGGTTGTAAATGCAGACCACCACTGAAAGGGACAATCCTGCTTTAAACATTTACCCCACTGCTTCCCATGCACCGGACCTAGCAGGGATGCAGATTCAGAACATATCAGTTCAACACACTAATCCAACAGTCCTACTCTGCCTCCCATACAAAACAGGATAGGGAATCAGTAAGACTCTCCCCTTCAGGAGCAGCCTGCAGTCATACCAGATTAGGTTTATCAAAGTATACCCCAAGAATTTTGATAGCTATTCTCCCTCCCCTACACCAAACAACTTTTTCATATGGACTGCAGGGAGAAGTATTGCCACTGCAACAACTAAACTGTTATCCCCACAGTGATTAGTTAATTTGGGAAGGGGGAGACAGGCGTACAAGGAAAGATCATTGCAAAACCCCAACACAAACTGCTACCGACAGACTAGGGTATATATTGTTTTCTCCCATACTCCAGACAGAAATACTCAAGGTGCCCTTGACCAGATTTACTTCTTCCAAGTCAGGGCTGAGCTGCCATCACATGACCAGTCAAAACTACTACCATGTGATAAAAACATACAGAAATTAACAGGTAAGAGCTGCAGCAAGCTTATATGGTAAATTCAGCCCAATCTGCTGAGGAATGCATGCCACTGCCTAGTACACAGGCACACACAGATCCCACTCAAAATATGGATCTTTAGTATCTTTAAGCAAGTTCAGTTATCAGAGGTACAAATGCTATAACATCACCACAGGAGATAGCAATTTGTCTGGGAAGATTTTTTTAGCTGGGCACCTGATCTAAAACCCGGTGAAAAAAATTAAATGTTTCCAACATGATCACAGAAATTGTTCTAAATTTCAGCATTCTAAGTACCTGAAGATTTAAGCACACATGCTTGTGAGATAATTAAAAAAAAGCTCCCAAATACTTGGCATTTAAAAGTTTAATGACTCAAATACTTCATCAACTTAGTTCTTGGTATATAAGAGCTGTTCTATTAATCAAGCATGGTCACAGTGCAAAATAAGACTCTCAGTATCAAGGTGTTAATATTTGACATTCATTTTAATAATTCTGCAGTAAAGACACTAACAGGAAGAAACTGGACTCTTGCTCCTGATGTTAAAGACAAGTCTCAGGTCCAGCATAAAAAAAATATGCTGCTTGGAAGTAACATTCAGCATTTCTTTGTCATTTCCACTAATTAGCTTAAGGTCTCATATGAAAGTCTTGTTATTAGAAAAACAGTAGATGGGGCAGTGAATGAAAAAAAAAAAAAAAAGCATAAAAAGAGCTTAAACTATCTGTAATAGCCACTGATTGGAATGACACAGCTCTTAGTTAAGAGAAACCAAATACCCAATTACACTGTCTAAACATAACTGTGCCTTCACAAAAAGGGGACCTTGATTAAGCAAGGACCTTAAGAACACAGCTTTCTTCAGAAGACTTCAAGTCACAGTTCTAGGTACATACTGTTTTTCCCTGTTTTCTAATGCTGTTTCACTCCTGGTTAATTGCTTCTACACTGGTATATAAGGACAAGCCTATCAATCTTGAATTGTTAGCATTCTTGCCCTTCAGTACTAGTATACCTTCAGCTACATTATTTTGCCAAGTGTGTTACTTTAGAGGACATGCCAAGACAATCTCCCACAAGAAAAGTTTTTCTTGGCTCATAACTGTAAATTGACATTGCTACTGCACAAGTCCCAATATGAGGATTTACTATTCTCTGCAGGCCTTAAAGGCCCATCTTTATCCAAGCTCTGAAGTTCTTACCCCCATGCCAGATCATTTCACAATCACGATGCCTCTACTGCAAATTTTTGTTTCTATGAAAAGCTTTCAGCTAGTCTAGCTCCCAGCTGTTTTAATAGGCCTATGCCTTCCACACTACACAAAATATTAATAGTTGTTTCATAATTATAACATGTTCAGGCCAGTATGTAACTTTCCTAAGCTCACAACCACTTATCCAATCTCTTAAGGTATGCACTCAAAGTAGTATCCAATCTTGACAAGTATACTGCAAAAGCAACTTCTTTTTTGGTTTAAAAAAAAAGGAAAAAAAAACATGCTGTTAAACCAGCGACTCTACACAGGTTATACTAGGAAAACTAACATTGTTAGTAGCAGCACAGGGGAAGGACAGCAGATAGCTTCAAAAGCCAAATGGCCATGGTACAGTAAAATGTTAAAGAGAATGCATGCACCATACTACTTACCTTTTCATTTGGATCATACACAGATGAATACAGTTTATGAGACGTTACGAGGCACCATCTGGAACACAGTGTTTCGCACTACAGAAGAAAGAGTTAAACGTTTTTCTCCTGCTACAGTATTCCAGCAAGATAAAAAACAGTTCATATACTGACATCTTGAGGAAACTCTTCCATACCCTTCCATTCACCCACCAAGTGGATGAAAGCTTAAAGATCTGCCTTCCCCCAAGCAGAAACCCAACAAACAGCAACTAAAACCAATTCAGAAGCTCTAGATACAAAGTCATTCAGTATAAATTAATCAACCCTCCACTATACCATCTTATTTCCTTGTTTCAAGAAATATTTACCAAGAAGTTCTCAAAAGAGCACGCATGGACATGTCTGTACACACTGGGGATGGGGAGAGGCCTTCACTGCTAGTGAGCTGTTGGGAATCCAGCAGGTAATGAACTGGGCCAGTATGGAGCGCAAAAGTAGGATAGACTTTAGATGATAGTTCTTCCCTACCACAACCCCTGACAGTGGTTTGAAGAGGCCTCTTCTTCCTTCTCCCCAAGGCTTCTGCTCTAGACCAACTTCTACAAAGACAGCTCCTGTAGTTTAAGTTTTGTGTATGTCAGGAAAAAGCAGCATACATGTGCTATTTCAAAGAGAACACGACAGAGGATACAACAGATTGGCAAGTATATCAAGGAGATTCAGACAGGTACTTCTCAAGCAACTTAATTCACAACACAACGGCAGTTACAGTCAACCATAAACAAAAATAATTGGACAGATAAAGGATTGCACGCCAAAGTTGCATCAATACAGATAGATCTGAGAGCTACACTTGTTCATCCAGTTGGAATCAAATAGACTGTACAAAGCCTTAATATTCAACATTGTCTAGTACAAAGCACAAAACAGCAGTGACTGCCAGAACTCGGAACCTGTCAATTCTGAGAGAATTGTTTTCACAAGTTGCGGAAATCTTAGTACTAGAAAGTAAAGGGTCTCCTGTAAGAAGATTAAAAAAAAAAAAAAAAAAAGACTGACTATACTAGAAAGGAGACCAAAAAATAAGGAAGTATATGTTCATATAAAGAGGTTAGAGAATTCAGCTGCCCCTTCCACAACAATAGTGAACATAGAATTTTATCAGTTTTTAAATTATCTTAAGTTTACGATATGTTCATACTAGCTCTGAAATACCAGTGACTGGTAGTAACTGGAATAAGAACACTCCCTACACAGCCCTCCAGCCTGATCTAGTTTGAAGATACTTTTCATGTTGTATGTTGCATCACAAAGCAGAAACCAGCCCAGGATTGAGATGGGCATCACATTTGGAATGCAGCCGATATTATAATGTTATAAAGAAAAAACAATATATTTCAATACCAGTCCTGGAATACAGGACTAAAGTAAGCCTTAAGAGCACACTACCTCATGTCAGCTTAGACCAAGCTTCATGAGTAGAAAGCTGCTACAGCTTCACAAACCATTCAGATGCCAACCACTAGTGGCAGACATAGCATATTGTCCCAGGTAATCCAGCTAAACTTAATTATTCTGAAACAATTCAGATATTCATACTTATTCTGGAATGCAACTGTTTTACTGTTTCACATGCCAGGTTCTCTCCCAATTCAGGTTCTCTGTTTTGGTGGGGGGTTTTGATTCTTTAATTTTTCCACTTCACTCTCCAAAATAAAATCCAGTATAACAACCTGAAATGCAAATCACTTGATGTGCTAGAATCAAAACCACCAGAGGTTTCTCTTTGCAGGGTATATTCTCCATCTGAGGATGTGACAGTAAAAGCTGTTTCAGGCATTAGAGGGAAGATACAGTTAAGGACAGAATTCTATCAGCCACAACCACACCAACCAGCTGGTCATTATCCCACATTTACACCTCCAGTGACTGCACTGCAATCTAGATCCTGCTGGAGGGAAGAGCAAGGGTAGCTATAGCAGAAGCAGCAGAATATACTCCCCTGTTCCAGAACACACACAGTTAAGCACGTTGAGTTCCTTCCCTCTCAAACACTATTGACAGAAGTGCTTGAGGGACCACAAATAGTCTGAAGAAGGTCATAGAAGACACAAACAAAAAATCTCCAAGTTAATATTACTCACTGAACAAAGTGCTTGTTAAGGGTCAGTGGGGATAATCTAAATACTCAGTTAGCTGGGGGGGGGGGGGGGGGGGGTCAAAGGAGGAAAAGATTCTGAACTTTCTTATAAACACCTTTCATACAAAGCTAATTTTGAATGCATATGAGAAGCCAGAAAAGCTATGCCACAGATGGGGACTGGAAGGAAAGGCTATGACAGGAAAATTAGTTAGCATTAAGTTTTAGAATGTTAGCCACGTTGTCTTGGAAAGGTGCCCTGTTCATACTTTTTATACAGAAAGAGTAAAGGTACCAAGCAATTAAAAAACTGGAAAAGCATTAATCCACACTCAGCTCTGTTTTTACACTATAGGATTGGACAGATGTCACATCAAAGTCTTGTAATAGCCTAACCTAATTATGCAGCTATGTTTAAAAACTTCACTACCTCCTCTCACACACACACACTAGAACCACCTAGAGAACCAGGTTCAGCCCCGAATTGAATACATGTGGGGTAATTTCCTAAAGCAAATCAAGCATATTGCTCAGCTCAGGTGTAGAATTCCAACTTTAATTCAGAGATTTGGAAAGAAGGGGTTGTGGGGTTTTCTATGTATCTGTACCAATATACACTAAGGTTTAAGAGCTTGCTTAACCTAGAATCCACTTCAAGTCTCTTTGGAGGTCTGCTCCTAGCTACTATGAGCAAAAATTAAACTGACATGTTGTAAATAATGCACGGCTAGGACTGAAAAGGAACACCACTAAATTGCCCTCTCTGAATCAGCAGCTACTCAGCTGTCACCTACCCCTGGGCTCCCAAGCTCCTGCTACAGGTGGATTCATTAAAAGCTACACCAAAACCACCAGAGAGCTTCCCAACCACCAACACAGCCAAGCCAATCTAACCCTCAAGCTACATTAATTGGTTGCCTTCCCAAAGCCACACCTGCTCTAGGTATTACACCTTACATAAAAATTTCTCCAGAACAGAGCCCAGAGAGCTCAGCTTGACCTAGTGACTTTTTTGTATCTTGCTAAACTAGGAGAGGGCAGTAGAGTCATTGGGTATAAGCTATTTTTGTCATGATTTGTTACTTCAATTTGATAAAACTTTTAACTCTTTAAAGCCCAAGAATGCAGACTACTCATTTATGAGAGCTTAACTCTGGACTTACAAGTTTGGCTTGGAGTTTCCCACCTCTACATAATCATCAGATAACGGATAGTGTTAGTCATGTATTTTGGAAAAGCATCCTGCTTTATCTGTTAACTGCACAATAGCCAAACTGAGCTCAAACCTGAATAGTTGTAATAGTTATGAAATAACTACCTATAAGTCAAACTACTCAGTAACTTGTACAACAGTATGATCATCTCACACCGCTGCTCTGAGGCCAAGCAGAGAACCTGCCTCCCAGGGGCCCAGTACAGCCCTAGGAAACCTCTTCAGGTGGTTTAAGGACACAGCACACAACAGCAAAATAGAAAATTAACTTCTTATTTAGAGATGGCTTACATATATGTTTTCAAAGGTTTATACGTCCCTCATGGAGGACAGAAATTTCCCTGCCATATTGGTCATCTTGTAAATACTTCCTTTATACTGAGCTTTATGAGCAGAAAAAGGTCTCTGTCGAAATGAAGATGCAGAGCTCCAGATTCCAGGCGGGAAAAGCATCATATACCAATGTTTGCTTTAAAAAGTCTAATATGGGAAGGAATGTATATGTTACCATTACTAGAAAATACAAATTACTAAAAAATAAGCAATGCACAATCGTAACAGCTAGAGTAGCATACTTACTTTCACTAGCCATAAATTCTACCTCTTCCTTCTGTCTTCCACTAGTAACCCTGCTAAGATTTTTGCCACTACACTTTCAGATATTCAAGTTGATATTATATATATAAAAATAACATCTTTATATTTGCAGTGTATTTTCCACTAGCTGTAAGTATTCCTGAGTAATTATAAACGTGAAGAAAACGTCATTTTTTTCCATATATTGATTACACAGCAACTGTTCCCAAATCTTTATTTGACAACCTAATCCTATTTATGGACCTCTACTGATAAGAGTGTGTCTAAAGCATATAGGAAGCAGTACCTGCAAGACTTTTAATCTATAAAGATGAAAATGTAGCTTATTAATACAAGATTATACAAAACTTGTAAACAGGAAAAGCAAGCATAACACCTATGTATTTTTCCTCCAGTAAATCACTTTCCCTTTCTTTGTACTCTGAGAGTGCTGAACAGCCAAGCACCTGTAACTCTAAGCAGATCCTCCTGAAACCAACTACAAAGATGTAGTACAAGTTTCTGTAAGGTACACAGCACTACACACAACAGTTCTTTCACTCTTAGCAGGTTTGAGAACCACAGGTAATTATAAGAAGAAGAGAAAATCAGTTTTTCATATTTGCCAACACAGCACACAAATGACAAACAAAGAAACACCCATTCATAGGGCTATTTTTTAAAAATGAAATAATTCCTGCACCCAAATACCTTCTCCTTTGTGGCAGCCCCAGAAGTTTGTATAGTCACATAGTGAACCAGACCAGGGAATACATCCAGCTGTAAAGATACTCACAAGGAGTGAGAAAAATGTGTTCTCAGCCAGATTTCAGCTCAGCTTATCCACTCAGATATTCAAACAGCAGTGCTGGCACAAGCTGGAGGGAGACAGCAACTCAAACGGAATGGCCTGTGATCAAGACCTAGCAGCTGCAGAAAGTTGGAAAAGTTTCTCATGGCAGCAGCTTGAACAGCTCCAGCAAGGCTACCACCTGTGAAATAGATCACACCACTGCAACAATCATGCAGGAACCACCAATGCAAATTTGGGACAGGCAACATAACTAGAAAATTAACACACACAAGGAGTGTTTCAGAATAAGACTGACTTTTTCACTCAATGTAAACTTTAGCGAACTCAACTTTTTCTTCCAGAACTAAGGTTTGCCCATAGTAGATGGCACAGCATGCTTTGCCTACACAATCCAAACAGCTACTCATGGGAGCAAGGAGAAAACCAGAAATCTCTACGTGTGGCATGTTTTAAGGGTGCTTGTAAGTACTCAAATCTGTAGTTTACATACTAGAAACAATCACTGAACTCCAGAAGTCTAGGGCAATATTCATCTCCCCGTATTGGTGACCATGTTAATTCTCTTCCCTAATGGCAGATGATACCAGTCTTGCTATCCCATCAGCCTAATGCTTCTGTGCTCATAAACAAGGGGAAAAACATTTCCCTAGAAGAACAGCATGCTGAAAATGCCACAGAAGGGAGCAAGGAGCTTCCATTGTACAGATAACTTCCGTGACTTAAAAATGGTGGGTGCATAGCGAACAATTTATGAGGGCACATATCACAAACTTTCTATATGCTTAGTTCAGTGGTCAGAACACTGCTCTACACTGATAAAAATCCATATCAGCAGCTTACTCTTTATTTCATGATGTACTGTATTTATCACTTTCTGCATTGTTTTAAACTGACAGCTCTCTCAGAAGACTCTCAAGACTGAAATATCAAAAGCCATCTTTCATCCTTATTCTGTAACCACAGCCTTCTTTCAACAATCAGATTTTCTCCCAGTGCCAGAAGTGCAAAGCACTCAAAAAGAAATCTTGGTTATATTCTAAACAGAATAAGTTTTGAATAAAAGCTGAACAGAAGTGCTAAGCATTAGATTAGAAACACAGCAATTAGTTAAATCCCCAGCTCAGTGCTTTTGCACTGTCCTCTCAGGTCCTGCATACCAATTTCCACAAGGGCAAAAGTACAACTCACTAGCTACTAGCCTTTGCAAAAAATGCAAAATCTCCAAGCACATAAAAGTTTAAAGACATCAATTATGTTATTTGTCTATGTTAGCAAAATATAAAAGAATCTATGAAAGTAATTCCCTTGCAAATTTATTAAATGCTTTCCAACATACTGATGTCTCAACGGTGACTTTCATATACAGATATTAAGGGCGAGAAATCACTTCAGTTACCTAAGTCACAAATGCTATTACGTAGCTATAAAAATATTTTGTTTTACAAAGGTGTCACTAATGTAACATTTCCATACTGTTTACATTGCTGCAGTCAGCTCACACCCTTGAGATGTTAGGAGGAAGGAGACAAAGTAGGCCTTTCACAGGGAGGCTCCAAAGGACTGACCTCAAAGTCTTTGGACTATTTAGTGGGAAGAGCAGAAGTCTTCCACATCTATACACATGCACACGGCTACCAAAAATAAAGTCTTCAAACAGCACAAGCCCTCCGCTAATGCCAAATCATTGCTTCCAATCAAACAATCTTGTTTTTCAAGAAGCTTCTCTCACGAACACCTTCACAGCAAATCAGGTTTGCTATGCATATTTCCTAAGGAAAAACACTTGGTTAAAGCACATCCTTTCTTCCTCTAACACCCTTCTAAAAATGCCCTGCCCACATAAACCACCTCTTCTACATGTTCCCTAAAGACATGTGAGGAGTTCTTTATAGTACTGTTATGCAGTTACGAAACGCATCCCATACCCTCAGGGGTACACAGAGCAAGTATTTTCTGCAAGTTGCTCCTCTCTTCTCCACTGGAACTTGCAGACTTCTATGCACATTTTCCTTTTCAGGAAAAAAAAAAAATATAGAGAGATTCTTCCTACTGTAAGCAGCTAGACGTATTTTGCACCACTTTTCCCATATACAAACTAGTTGTAGGGTCATTCAACTGTTACACAACACCATGTGCTAACACTGCTTGTTATCCTAAATAATCTCCTATTTCTTTTAACGATCTGTAGAGGTGATAGATAATAAAACGTAACAACTACCTCAGTGAAGCTACTCCATAGTCTAAGGAATATGGCTTTCTAGAAGTTTAAAGTCTTCACCAAACGCATTAGTATAGTTCTGCAATGAGTTCACTGCATTTTCATGAAGATTAAGAAGACTAAGAAAACACAGTAAAGCTTTAAGTGACAGCTGCAAAAGCCACAAGTATCTGGGGGGAAGAAAGACAACAGTTTCACCAAGCAGTAGCCTTTTTCTAAGAGCTAGCATTTTACCCCTAAAAATAGTATAAAACTGCACTCTAACCCTGAGTTTTGGATAATGCCCTCCTTACCATAGGCAGAGCACGGCAGCAAACAGGGAGCAAGCACATAACCCTCTCCAGCCGCAGAAACTTAAGCCAGAAAGAACAAAACCCCACCCCTAGCAACACACGGCCGGGATGCACCGAGGAACAGCGTCTTGGATGCCGCCAGCCCTCACCCACCGAGCCCAGGGCCCAGCTCCCACACCCCCACCACGACCCCCCCCGCACAGCCCCGCCGCCCACCCCAGCCCGGGGCGCCCAAACCGCCACCGGCCCCCGGGGAGCCGGAGGGGCAGCGCACCCCCCCCCGCACCCCACCTCCCCCGCCATTTCCAGCCGGCAACCTGCCGGCTCCCCAACAGCCCCTCACCCAGCCGCGGGGCGGGTGAAGGTTACCGCAGCCGCCCCGCACCACCGCGCAAGGAACGGGGAAGGAGGGAGGCAACCGCGCCGCCCACCCTCCAGCCGACTTCCTCACCCTCAGCACGGCCCGGAGCCCCCGGCGGCCGCCCGCCACCCCGCAGCGCAGCAGCACCGCCATGTCCGCTGCCGCCGCCGCCGCCACCCGGCCGCCCTTTCACCCGCGGCGGCGGCGGGGCCGGGCCGCCCGCAGCCAATCCCAGCAGCCGCCGCGGGCGCCAGGGAGCAAGCGCGGCCGCCCGCACCGGGGCGGGGCGGGGCGGGGCGGGGCGGGTCCCGTCCGTCCGTCCGTCCGTCCTTGCAGCGGGATGGGCGGCATCGCGCCCGCCCTGGATTGGAAGTTGGGGGGGGTTCCGCGTGTGGGCGCCTGCCGGGCGGGTGTCGCGCACAACACGCGTGGGGCTGCCGCGCTTCTGCTGGGGGTCACGGGCGGCGCAGTGAGGCGCGGGGGGCGGGGATTGCGCTGCGGTAACGGTGAAAAGCGTAACCGCGCCGGCAGGGCCCGGCCCCGGCTCCCGCCCTGAGAAACGCAGGCGGGGCCGCCGGCGGGAGGGGGACGGGGACGCCGCTAATCCTCGTGTTCCTGGTCGTCTGCAGGAGCTGCTCACCGCTCAGCTCTCTGGCACACGGCGCTCTGGGTCGGCCCCTGCCGAAGCGGGCTGCGCCCCGGTTCGGTGCCGCAGGTACCCTGGGCCTCGGCCGAGGGAGGCGGCAGGACTGTGCCGTTCCCCGAGCGAAGTGGCGTCCGGCCCTGGGAACGCTGTGAGGAAGGTGCCTCCGAAGCGTCGCTGTGACCGTCTTGGGCTTTTGGGGTTGAAATGCGACAGAGGTGTAAAGCTGCCCACAACGCTGAAGTGTAGAAAAGGTGTGGTCCGAGATGTTCGAGTCGGTGCTCGCGAGGCAAAGGAACAACAGTTTTTAAATAGTGTTATTAAAACAACGGTGATGTGGGAGAGGAGGGTGAACCTGAGCCGCCTCTTCATCCTCATTGCAGTAGCAGAGCAAGACTAGAGTTTCTGAAGCTGAAAGAATTATTCTTGGCTGGGGAAGGGGAGTATGTCATAGGCAGTTTGCAATTCACCCAGAACATGCTTTGCTACGAGATCCCAACAGGGCTAGAAGACAGCAAAAAAAATTACATCCATAGGAAAAGCATATGGGCAACATACATAGTTATATTAGGAATAGATCCCTCAGACTTTAGACACGAGCTGGGTCATCAAGCAGGGGAAGAGGACATCTCCTATACAGTCTGATCGTTCTGTAACTGCAGTAACCATTGCTAGAGACGTTTTACCAGAGTACATCACTCCGTCAACTCTCACATTACATCAACCCTTACATTTTTACCCCATACCTGTACAGTCCTCAGTAAATTCCCTCAGGCTCCATGTCCATTCACATCCTGCAGCGAGAACCAGGATGTCCCAGAGCAACTAGCCCATTCCCGCGCTGGAGGAAGGCGCTGGAGGAGGGGGAGGAAAAACTGCTGGGCACCTGGGTTCACCCAAACTTGAGTATTTTCATGGGGCTTTGCTGCATGGTCTCTTCGGTGGAGTACAAATTCCTACCTGCATTTACACATAATCTGGAAAAACTTGGCCTGGTCTTATTGGGTCTTGACATCACTTTTTTAGCTTCTTGTATCAGTACTTACGTTCAAAGTAGAAAGAGATGAAAACTGTGACAGAAAGGAGAACACTGGGCTCGCCTGCCAAAAGTATGTGAAATGACTTCCTTTCCTCTCAAGCAAGTAGCAAAAATAAAATTGGCGCTGGGTCACCACTGTTGCATGTTTATGCATTTGCTCTGCCATATTAACAGTGCCTACAACTGCACAGGTGACAACAATGCAAGAAAACTGGTTTGCATATGTCAAGGAGGTCACTGTATCTGCAATTGGTAGTCACAAGCAGATACCACAGATTTTTTTCAGTACATGTGTAGAGTCTTCAAAGTAAAAGAGACCAAGAGCAGAAAGGAGTTACAGACCACATCGTCCTTCACCGCAGGCTCTGCGTTAGAGATATTAGATACACAGAGTTACACACCACAACATCTTGTTATTGCATTAGAACAATATCCTGAGGCACTTGACGTCAGTTCCTCCTGCATGCATAAAGCAAACACTCACATGGCATCACCAGGGTGTTTTCTTTTCCTCTACAGAAGAGATTCTGTTTGCAGGCCCCGGTTGAGGGCTCAGCAGCCACCTACAGAGGCACATCAAAGGAGGCCCCCCACAGCTGCAAAGGGAAACTGGCCGGGATTACACAGAGACACCGCAGCAAAGAGAAACTTCGCAGCCAGCTGGGTGCATAAAGAGCGTGATACACTGAGAAACGGCCTAATGCAAGCCTGCTTCCAAGTGAAGCTAAGGCTCCTCGCATATGGAAGGGACTGGGAAGAAGCCTCAAGAATGCTAATCTTTTTCCATTTACACATGAAGTTTTCTGCTTTTAGCATGATCTGATTTTGACTGACAGATTTTATTAACGGTCTTGTAGGGTATTCTTTATTGAAGTGGGTACTGCACACAAAATATAAAATTTTGTTTCTGTAGGAGAAGGAAGATACATAATGGATCAAAACTATACATAATTACTATGGAACATTTCCAAAAAAGTGAGGTTAACATACATCACCATTCCTACAGAAATTATATAAATGAAATTGCAAAAATTAAAATATCTAGACTATTTAAATGGTATATGAATTTGGATAAAGACAAAGACCCTAGTTCTATATGTCTAAGCACATTTGTAATGCCATAACTCAATATACACTCCCGTCTCAGTTACTAAAGCTATTAACATGCAGAAAGTTAAACAGGTTTATAAGAGACTGGAATACCAGGCAACTTACTCTCTCATTATTTTGAAAGGATCCTGGGGAATTGTAGCTTTCAATGCTGAGAATTTCCTCAATCCCTTCTTTACAGCAGAAAGTTACCTTCATCTTCTAACATAACTCCAAATTTAGACAGGAATCATAAGTTGTTCTATCATCATCTAAGTTTTAAGCTGTAACCCAGGGAGAAAACTGGAGTAATTGTAACCCTTCTGCCTTTATTTAATAAGGAATATATTGTATCAGGTTTATAGAACATTAAATGCATTATGCACAAAAGCCTGTGACTGAAGAACTCAGAGCTAGAAAAACTCTTTGAAGTATCTGTTATATATTCTGTAAACAGCCTTTGCTTCTATCAGCATTCTGCTCAATGCACTGAGAGACAGAAATTCAGCCTTAGAGTCAGCCAAGTCAATATGTCCATACATTCCTCTGCTAAGTACCTACAGAAAAATCTTGACTGTGAGGAAAGATCCTCCATGCCAGATTCACCTGAGAGAGTCAAGAGTTGGAGGCCAGGGGGTTGTCAGGCATCCCAGAGAAGCCCCAAAGCCCAGCCATGGGGAAGCCAAGATGGGATCCAAGCTACCAGCTCCCCAGTCCTCTGGGGCACCTTGATTTCAACCCCACACCCAGCTGCCCAGGCTTTGGGGATCCTTAGGGGTGACGGGAACACCCTTCCCCTTCTACGGGTCCTCAGGGGTGACCCTAACACGTGCACACTTATGTTTTAGGGGATGGCTTGATCCTTATCTTGGCCTCCTGGCCTCAGGGGTGGTTTGAAGCCCATGCATGCCATGTGGCCTCTCTTTCTCCAGGAGCATGAACCTCCCAGTCAACATCATTCACCTTCCCCAGCCATCAACTCTCCTCAGGAAAGTCTTGAAACTCCTTGGCCTCAGGAGCAACCCAAGCACCCTTGGCCCATTCTTAAGGGGGCTTGACCTCATCCTCTACCTGGCTTCAGGGGTGGCTTAATCCTCAAGCCAGGCTGGCTTGCTCTGAGACAGTGTGATCCCCTCAGCCTCCAGGCACAACCTGACCTTCTGCAACCACACAGCCTTCGAGGCTTTTTTGGGACAGCCTGGATCACCCCAGCTGTTGGGGCTGCTCAGGGAGGGCGTGAAATCCCCAGGCCCCAGGCATCTCATAGCTGCCACCTCAGCCCCTCTGACCACCAGCTTCCAGTGCTCCCCAGCTTCATAGGCTGCTCAGGGACATCCTGAACCCTTGGCCTCATGGGTGCTTTGATTCCCATCCTGAGGATGCCTGCTCTGATATACCTTGATTTCACCCCTGCCCAGCCACACAGGCTCCACCAGGGAGTCTGGATTCCGCTTCCAAACTGGCCTCCAGGGAAAATTGAAACGCCTCCAGCCTTTGGAGTCTCCTCAGGGAAGATCTGAGCCTTCACTCACCACAGTATGGCCTCAGGGGTGATTTGATCCCTTTCCCATACTGAAAACAGGGGTCTAGGAACCCCTGTTTTCATCCCCAAAGCCTTGCTCCCAGCCAAAGGACTGTTCAGGGATGGCTTGACTGTTCTACCCTTGCCTCACTGACAGCTTCAGCCTTATCCCAGCGTCCTGCTGTTGGTCAGCCCACCCCTCCACCCTTCACCAGCTATCCAGTCCCTAGTGCTCTTTGAGGGCAGCCTGAACAGCCCCACAGCCACTCCAGAAGAGTCTCAGAGCCCAGGCAGGGGTAATTCAGGGAGCCCTTACTCCCAGGGCACAGTCCTGCAGGATCTGAACAGGGTGGGCAGACCTGGGTGCTGGTATCAAGGTCTATCAATAGTCCCAGACTGCTGAAAGCAAGGTGATGACTCAGGTGTAGGTCTTTTCTGGGACTCCGGTCAGGGCAATCAGCAAGAGACAGCGCTGGAGACAAAGCTGTGACAGTAGACCAAGGTCCAGCCAGGAGTCAGGACCAGCAGTAGGACTGGAGACAAGTACACCTCCAACAATATAGCTTAAAGCAAGGCTGAATGCTCAGGCCTGAGCTTAAGTGAACATCCCAGGCGGTAGGCAGAGGATGTGGTGGAGGCCCTGGGTGAGGCTGGTCAGGGCCATTAAGGCCTATTGATGCATTCAGTACCCCAAGACCCTGGCAAAGTTGCCCACTGCAACGCAGGTCTGATTGGGGAAACATGCAGGAGCTTCCCACATTAGCAGAGTAAGAGTCCCTTTGTCTTGGGGACCATGTCTGGCTTCCTCTAGTCTGATGATTTGGATCTGAGGCAACTTTTAACTTTTTCACATCCTCAGGAGGTTAAAAGCCTGTTGTCAGAAGCGTGATGTAAAAACTAAGAGTTAAGCACTGCCTGCCTCAGAG